TCATATCTACATTTGAAACTGTGTATGGAGTCAACCTCCACAAAATCACTGTCTAATGCATTCCATTTACTAACTACTCTGACACTGAAAAAGTTTTTTCTAACGTCTCTGTGGCTCATTTAGTACTCATTTTCCACCTGTGTCCCCTTATATTTGAGAATACAAAACATATTTTAAATGCGCAGTGCGTTAACAATGGATGAATGTGTCTTCTGGTTTGACCGCCGCCTGGACGGGCCTAGTTTGAGGACAGGTGGCATGATTCGTGGAGCAGGTCATTCAGTTGTTAGCTGTGGGGGAGTGGGCAGTGCGTCGTGATCAGTGTGCGGGCGAAAAGTTGCAAAATATCAATGGCAACAACAAAAAAGGTTCACCGTCAACTACTGTGTCCCCGGATAATAGTATGTGTTCGGTTATAGTGAGTTTCAGTGTGAACTATTCTGGTGCCCTTAATAGCATTCCGTAGTTGATAACGCCACACCAAACCGTTGTTGACAAACAGTTTGCGTGTGGCCACTAGAAAATAAAGTCTACTACGGGCTCACCATAGCCCGTGCTACTTTGAACTTTATGTTCCAAGTAGCTAAATCTTTAACAACAACAACAGCTAGAAAAGTTTAGTTAAGTGTCTCAGCTAACTTCTAAAAATTGTTCGTGTTTGCTGCCTCAAGACCTGAAAGTGTATTGTGGTTAATAGTATGGAGGAGGCGTAGTCTGCTCCGGCGTAGCCAAGACAGGATACGCCACCACTGCTATACGTGGATAAAGTGGCAGTATTTGGTTATACCCACTTACTTCAGTGCCTTCATCCTTCAAAAAAAAAAGGTAAGGACTTCCTTCAGCCTCAAGTATCCCATTGAATTCAAATGTGATCGATTATGTGATGATAATATTATATGAGGATGGAAAAGTATTCAAATTATCTCCTTATATCATAACAATAATGTGCTTTCATACTATTACAGGTCCGAAAGGTCATCGAAGGAACGAGAGCCACAAACTTTGAGGTACGCTCTTATTTCATTCTGTATTCTACGACCATTAATTAAGCTTTAACAAACCCGGGTGTAAAAGTTGTTTACCATTTTCGGGCGTGCTGTAATTATAGTTACGGAGACTTGAGTGGCCAAGGATGCTGTATTAACCTCGCAGGATAACTCCCTCCGGAGTTTAACACATTCATTGTGCTTAATTAACAAAGTTAGATAAATTAACCCTCCCATTGTTGACCTATTAGATGGGGGGTTCATGGGGGCCCCTGGGGGGAGGGGGAACTGATAGGCAAGAGGGGTTCGAACAGACGTTTTGTGTGTGTGTGTGTGTGTGTGTGTGTGTGTGTGTGTGTGTGTGTGTGTGTGTGTGTGTGTGTGTGTGTGGGGAGGCATTATCATCGTGAGTCACAAGATGGATTGTGAATTGACAGGTTGTGAGTTGTGGATTTGTAAGTTGGGAGAGTGGGCTTAAGGGGCATTTATCCCCCCCCCCCCCTTTCCCTTGTATTACAAGGGCATTTAAAGCTACGTGTGTATATACCAAAACAATGTATTTGGCTGTATGCATCAGTTTTAGTGTTTTAGGATATCCACCATAATCTTTTTTTAGAAGAAATTCAAACTTGAAAGAGCCAAGCAGATAGGCAAGAGACAGAGAGTCAGATAGACAGGCAGTCAGATAGATAGACAGGCAGAGTCAGATAGATAGACAACCAGTCAGGTGGATATAAATGATTTTTTAAGGGGGCAGGGAGAAAGAGAGGCCACTTTATTATATTTTATTGTACTTATATTACTGGGATCAATAAGGTACAGTTATTCGACGCCTGATTCATGTGCATGATAAGTTGCAAGTCAAGTTTTCATTGAAAAGGCTCACTGAATGCATTTGAAAAGTTACTACGTCCAGAAATGTTTGTCTTTAGAAAGAAGTAAAGTCAAATTTCGTGTACACACTCGCTAACAGGTAAAAAAAATTTCACTTTTAGCTGGTTTTAAAGCCATTGTTGATATTTAATTAGTCGTAAGTGCAGCTGCCTAGCGAGCAATTTGTTAAAATTACCCATTTAGAATTTTATATATATCATTTCGCACAGGCGAATGTGCTTGAGTACTCACATATATGTTCTTGTAAGTTTCAGCTCCTGGGTTGTGGCTTTCATTCTCTATATCGACTATTGCAAATGTCATGAATCCTTTTACTTCTAATTATTCATTCTCTTGTACTATTTCCACTTGCTTACTACACTTACACAGAGTAAGTGATTTCTTCCATCCACAGAGTGCATTTAAACTTCTCGCATTTCGTTACTTGTCTACTGCGTTAATGCCTTGAAGAATTTTGTATGTCGTAATCATGCCTCCTCGTTTTCTTGAATTTTTATGAGTGATTAAGTCTAGATCTCTCAGTTTTTCCTTGTATTTCAGTCCTCTTCTCTCAGGGACCTGTCTTGGCACAATTCTTTTGACTTTCACTATTTTTATGTTGTGTTTTATCCGGGAAGTATTTCACACTACGACTAAATATTTTAGTGCTGGTTTAACAAAGGCATTGAACAATATCTTGGAAATTTCCAGTTTGAGGAGTGTTAAGATTAGGCAGATGTTTGCCGTCTATGCCGATGAGTTTAACTTATTTTAATATCTGTATTTTAACCTATTTTAATATGATTTTAATATTTGCATTCTCTATTTGCGAGACCTGTCCCCTTACTTCTGTTAAGAATTTGCCGTTCCATCATCTTATTCTCTCCCTATTGCCCACGGTTTCCAATCTCGTATATTAATAGCTTGCATTTACTAGGATTAAAGTCAAACAGCCATTTTTTTAAGATCCTTCAAAAGTGTTCAATTTCACCCGGAGTTATTATTGGGAGATGTAGTTCTTAACTGTTATTATTCTTCCCGTTTATTCTTAACATCGTTGCAAAGATTATGTGTGTGTGTGTGTGTGTTCTCGCCTAGTTGTACTCACTTAGTTGTGCTTGCGGGGGTTGAGATCTGGCTATTTGGTCCCGCCTCGCAACTGTCAATCAACTGGTGTACAAGTTCCTGAGCCTACTGGGCTCTATCATATCTACACTTGAAGCTGTGTATGAAGTCAGCCTCCACCACATCACTTCCTAATGCATTCCATTTGTCTACTACTCTGACACTGATAAAATTCTTTCTAATGTCTCTCTGGCTTATTTGGGCACTCAATTTCCAGCTGTGTCCCCTAGTGCGTTTGCCCCTTGTGTTAAATAGCCTGTCTTTATCTGTCATATCTATTCCTTTGAGAATATCGTATGTGGTGATCATGTCCCCACTAACTCTTCAGTCTCCCAGAAACGTGAAATTTAATTCCCGTAGTTTCTCCTCGTAGCTCGTACCTCTCAGTTCGGGTACTAGTCTGGTGGCAAACCTTTGAACCTTTTCCAGTTTTGTCTTATGCTTGACTAGATATGGAATCCATGCCGGAGCTGCATACTCCAGGATTGGTCTGACATAAGTGTGTGTGTGTGTGTGTGTGTGTGTGTGTGTGTGTTTTGTGTTTATGTATGTGTTTGCCTGTTTGTGCTCTTGATTAAAACAAATGGCAGTTTTTAATTTAGTAGTATATTCGCAGGACAAACAATAAACAGGCTTTATACAAATTTAGTAATTTATTGCACAGTATAAATGGCCATAAACTACAAAAATTGCAACTGCAACATAAAACGAGTATAAATGAACGAGTTCAACTGTAACGATGTATCCCACTCATGATAATTGGCGATTTCCATGGACGATTTTTCCCGTTACCAGACGATTGCTGTCAAGACATAGACCAAATGTGTAGGAATGAGGCGTGTCTCGCAGCCTGTGAGGACTCACAACATGGGAGAACGGACACAACACGATAATAGCAGCCGCTGCCTACTTTTCCTTAAGGTGCCTTGCAAATAAGTTAATTGCCACCTTGCTGCCTCTCAGTGGCAATTATTTGATTCCAGGTGTCTATATACCTCTCGTTAGCAGCCTAAAGCTGCTCGTTACCTGTGTGCTACCTCACGCCTGGTCCAGGTAACGATTCAATTGTTATCATTCGTCAGGAATTGGGCTGGTCCAGCAAGGGTGATAATTACTGATTGTTAACTGTTTACCTCCCTTTAACTGTGGACTTTAACTTAGTTAAGTTCATGTGGGTTGCAGTAAATTTAGTTGTTATCTTGAATTTAAGGTTGTTAAGTACTGTATTGTTGCTGTACCTACTGCATTATTTACTGTAGTTAGGTTGGTTCCCAGTGAGGCCTAATTACAGTTATTCGTTAATTACAGGTTATACATATCATTTATTTCAGTTATTTCACTTATAATAATACTCTATATTTACCGCCTATTATTTACTTATCATCTGACTTTTACTTGTATTAAGTGGATTATACTTTTACTTATTTTAAGAAAATTCAACGATTGCTTCTATTAATTAATTAATTAATTAATTAATTAATTAATTATTAGTTTTTGCCCAGTGCGAGTATTAATCACCCTGCCCAATTGGGGGGACCTTTGACAAGCCGCCAGGTTCTTGTCCTCTTCGTTAATTACCCTTGTTAAACATTCAAATTTATAATTATAATTAATTTAATTATATTAATGGACGATTTAATTATAATTAATGTTGCAGATTAATTATAATTAATATTATTTTATTAATGGACGATTTAATTATAATAAATATTGCAGATTAATTATATTTAATATAATTATATTAATTATCATTAAATTAATAATTAAATTAATAATTAAATTTACTAATAAACTTTGAGGGATAATTAGGTGATGCCATTATTCGTATGAAGTATATAAACGATTTCTGCATATTTAAGTGTTTCAAATCACTAGAATAGATTATTTATTGTGGTTTGTGATTATTGATTTCTAGACTAATTTCTTATTTCGATACCTGTGTGAATTTATGTAAACATGTGAGAGGCGTTTTGACTAATGAGAAGCGTTGTTACAAAGCGTCTTTACGTTCATGATCTAACCCAATACTACGACAACAAAAGCGACGGTACCATTCTGCATGACAACAAAAGCGACGTTGCTATTATGCACGACAACAACAAAAGCGACGTTGCCATTATGCACGACAACAATAAAAGCAACGGTGCCATTTTGCACGACAACAACAAAAGCGACGATGCCATTCTGCATGACAACAAAAGCGACGGTGCCATTCTGCACGAGAGCAATAAAAGCGACGATGCCATTCTGCACGACAACAAAAGCGACATCGCCATTCTGCACTTTAACAACAGAAGCGGCGTTGCCATTCTGCATGACAACAAAAGCGACGGTGCCATCCTGCACGACAGCAACAAAAGCGACGGTGCCATTATGCACGACAGCAACAAAAGCGACGTTGCCATTCTGCATGACAACAACAAAAGCGACGTTGCCATTCTGCATGACAACAACAAAAGCGACGGTGCCATTCTGCACTATTACAAAAACTTGCGCGTAATAGTGAGTGGAACCACACACACACACTCTGCATTCACAGTTCACTGGCAGGAACCGTGAATACAGTGTGCGGTTCCACACTCTATTGCCTAGTTGTGTCTGCAGGATCGAGCATTGACTCTTGGATCCCGCCTTTTATGTACTTACAATGAGCATCATCCTCGGTTGTTTACAGCAATGACTCCTGTCCCATTTCCCTATCATACCTGGTTTTAAAATTATGAATAGTATTTGCTTCCACAACCTGTTCCTGAAGTGCATTCCATTTTCCCACTACTCTCACGGTAAAAGAAAACTTCCTAACATCTCTGTCACTCATCTGAGTTTCAAGCTTCCATCCATGTCCCCTCGTTCTGTTACTATTCCATGTGAACATTTCGTCTATGTCCACTCTGTCAATCCCTCTGAGTATTTTATACGTTCCTATCATGTCGCCCCTCTCCCTTCTTCTTTCTAGTGTCGTAAGGCACAGTTCCCTCAGGCGCTCCTCATACCCCATCCCTCGTAGCTCTGGGACGAGTCTCGTTGCAAACCTCTAAACCTTTTCCAGTTTCATTATATGCTTCTTCAGATGGGGACTCCATGATGAGGCGGCATACTCTAAGACCGGCCTCACGTAGGCAGTGTAAAGCGCCCTAAATGCCTCCATACTTAGGTTTCTGAATGATGTTCTAACTTTTGCCAGTGTAGAGTACGCTGCTGTCGTTATCCTATTTATATGTGCCTCAGGAGATAGATTAGGTGTTACGTCCACACCCAGGTCTCTTTCGCGCGTCGTCACAGGTAGGCTGTTCCCTTCATTGTGTACTGTCCCTTTGGTCTCCTATCTCCTAGTCCCATTTCCATAACTTTACATTTGCTCGTGTTGAATTCCAGTTGCCATTTCTCTGACCATCTCTGCAACCTGTTCAGGTCCTCTTGGAGGATCCTGCAATCCTCATCTGTCACAACTCTTCTCATCAACTTTGCGTCATCCGCAAACATCGATATGTAGGACTCTATGCCTGTAAACATGTCGTTAACATATACAAGAAATAGAATTGGTCCCAGCACCGATCCTTAAGGTACTCCAATTGTTACTGTTCGCCAGTCAGACTTCTCGCCCCTTACCGTAACTCCTTGGCTCCTTCCTGTTAGGTAGTTCCTTATCTATGCTAGGACCTTTCCCTCCACCCCCGCCTGCCTCTCGAGCTTGAACAGCAGTCTCATGTGCGGTACTGTATCAAAGGTTTTTTGGCAGTCCAGAAATATGCAGTCTGCCCAACCATCTCTGTCCTGTCTTATCCTCGTTATTTTATCATAGAATTCCAGAAGGTTTGTTAGGCACGATTTCCCTGTCCAGAACCCATGTTGATGTTTGTTCACAAACCTAATGTTCTCCAGTTGTGCAACCAGTCGTAGCCTAATTATTCTTTCCAGTATTTTACAGGGGATGCTTGTCAGTGATACAGGTCTATAGTTAAGTGCCTCATCCCTATCGTTTTTCTTGAAGACCGGCACGACATTTGCCTTCTTCCAGCAGCTGGGCAATTCTCCCGACATAAGTGACTCATTAAAGATCATTGCCAGAGGCACGCTGAGGGCCTGCGCTGCTTATTTTAGTATCCACGGTGATACTTTGTCTGGTCCAACTGCTTTAGTTGCATATAGAGTTGTCAACTGTTTCATTACCTCCTCTGCTGTCACCTCTATATATGATAGTCTTTTATCTAGGGTAACCCCTTCCAACAATGGGAGCTGCTCAGGCTCGGTAGTGAACGCTCCATGGAAACTGGCATTTCAGTGCTTCGCAGATTTCCTTGTCACTTTCAGTATATGCCCCCTCTGTCTTCCTTAGTCTTGTCACTTGGTCGTTCACCGACATTTTTCTTCTTATATGACTGTGTAGTAACTTAGGTTGTTTTTTCGCTTTGATTGCGTATCGTTCTCATAGTCTGTTTCTCACCTAGTTGTGTAATCGTTCCTAGCTCTGTTGCATCTGATCCTGTTGTCCTCTGTCCTGTACTCACCTAGTTGTACTCACCTAGTTGTGCTTGCGGGGGTTGAGCTCTGGCTCTTTGGTCCCGCCTCTCAACCGTCAATCAACAGGTGTACAGGTTCCTGAGCCTACTGGGCTCTATCATATCTGCACTTGAAACTGTGTATGGAGTCAGCCTCCACCACATCGCTTCCTAATGCATTCCATTTGTCAACCACTCTGACACTAAAAAAGTTCTTTCTAATATCTCTGTGGCTCATTTGGGCACTCAGTTTCCACCTGTGTCCCCTAGTGCGTTTGCCCCTTGTGTTAAATAGCCTGTCTTTATCAACCCTGTCGATTCCCTTGAGAATCTTGAATGTGGTGATCATGTCCCCCCTAACTCTTCTGTCTTCCAACGAAGTGAGGTTTAATTCCCGTAGTCTCTCCTCGTAGCTCATACCTCTCAGCTCGGGTACTAGTCTGGTGGCAAACCTTTGAACCTTTTCCAGTTTAGTCTTATGCTTGACTAGATATGGACTCCATGCTGGAGCCGCATACTCCAGGATTGGTCTGACATATGTGGTATATAATGTTCTGAAAGATTCCTTACACAAGTTTCTAAAGGCCGTTCTTATGTTAGCCAACCTGGCATATGCTGCTGATGTTATCCTCTTGATATGAGCTTCAGGGGACAGGTCTGACGTGATATCAACCCCCAGGTCTTTCTCTCTCTCTGACTCTTGAAGTATTTCATCTCCCAAATGATACCTTGTATCTGGTCTCCTGCTTCCTACCCCTATCTTCATTACATTACATTTGCTTGGGTTAAACTCTAACAGCCATTTGTTCGACCATTCCTGCAGCTTGTCCAGGTCTTCTTGAAGCCTCAAGCTGTCTTCCTCTGTCTTAATCCTTCTCATAATTTTGGCGTCGTCAGCAAACATTGAGAGGAATGAGTCTATACCCTCTGGGAGATCATTTACGTATATCAGAAACAGGATAGGTCCAAGCACAGAGCCCTGTGGGACTCCACTGGTGACTTCACGCCATTCTGAGGTCTCACCCCTCACTGTAACTCTCTGCTTCCTATTGCTTAGGTACTCCCTTATCCACTGGAGCGCCCTACCAGTTACTCCTGCCTGTTTCTCCAGCTTATGCATCAACCTTTTATGGGGTACTGTGTCAAAGGCTTTCCGACAGTCCAAAAAAATGCAGTCCGCCCATCCTTCTCTTTCTTGCTTAATCTTTGTCACCTGATCGTAGAATTCTATCAAGCCTGTAAGGCAAGATTTACCCTCCCTGAACCCATGTTGATGGGTTGTCACGAAGTCTCTTCTCTCCAGATGTGTTACTAGGTTTTTTCTCATAATCTTCTCCATCACCTTGCATGGTATACAAGTTAAGGACACTGGCCTGTAGTTCAGTGCCTCTTGTCTGTCACCCTTTTTGTATATTGGTACTACATTAGCAGTCTTCCATATTTCTGGTAGGTCTCCCGTTTCCAGTGACCTACTATACACTATGGAGAGTGGCAAGCAAAGTGCTCCTGCACACTCTTTCAATACCCATGGTGAGATTCCGTCCGGCCCAACAGCTTTTCTCATATCCAGCTCCAATAGGTGCTTCTTGACCTCATCTCTTGTAATTTCGAACCTTTCCAAGGTCACCTGGTTTGCTGCCACCTCTCCTAGCGCCGTGACTTCTCCCTGTTCTATTGTAAAGACCTCCTGGAACCTTTTGTTGAGTTCTTCACACACCTCTTTGTCATTCTCTGTGTACCTGTCCTCGCCCACCTTAAGTTTCATCACCTGTTCCTTCACTGTTGTCTTCCTCCTGATGTGACTGTGTAGTAGCTTTGGTTCGGTCTTGGCTTTATTAGCTATATCATTTTCATACCTTTTCTCAGCTGCTCTTCTCACACTAACATACTCGTTCCTGGTTCTCTGGTATCTCTCTCTACTTTCTGGTGTTCTGTTATTACGGAAGTTCCTCCATGCCCTTTTGTTCAGCTCCTTTGCTTTCATACATTCCCTATTAAACCATGGATTCTTCCTTTGCTTCTCTGTTTTTTCCTGTCGGGCTGGGACAAACCTGCTTACAGCCTCCTGACATTTTTGGGTGACATAGTCCATCATGTCTTGTACGGACTTGGTTCCGAGTTCTGTGTCCCAATGTATATCCCATAGGAATTTATTCATCTCCTCATAGTTTCCCTTTCGGTATGCCAGCCCTTTGTTTCCCAGTTCTTTTTTGGGGGTAATAATTCCTAGCTCAACCAGGTACTCAAAGCTCAATACACTATGATCACTCATTCCCAAGGGGGCTTCCAACTTAACTTCCCTTATATCCGACTCATTTAGGGTAAATATCAGATCAAGCAAGGCTGGTTCATTCCCTCTTCTTGTTCTCGTCGGTCCCTTGACATGTTGACTTAGAAAGTTTCTTGTTGCCACATCCAGCAGCTTAGCTCTCCATGTGTCTGGGCCTCCATGTGGGTCTCTGTTCCCCCAATCTATCTTTCCATGGTTAAAGTCTCTCATGATTAGTAGACTGGATCTGTTCCTGCTAGCCACAGAAGCTGCTCTCTCTATTATATTGATGGGGGCCAAGTTGTTTCTATCATATTCCTGTCTAGGTCTTCTGACATTCGGTGGGGGGGTTATATATAACTACTACTATAGTTTTCTGTCCTCCAGTTGCTATGGTGCCTGATATGTAGTCACTGAAACCTTCACAGTTCTGAATTACCATCTCTTCGAAACTCCAACCTTCTCTTAGTTGCAAAGCTACACCACCTCCTCCTCTCCCTTCTCTCTCTTTCCTCACTACATAGTAGCCCTGTGGAAACACTGCGTTTGTTATGGTGTTTGTTAGCTTTGTTTTTGTGAGTGCTATTATGTCTGGGTTTTCTTCTAGTGCCCATTCTCCGAGTTCACTTGTTTTATTTGTAATTCCATCTGTGTTAGTGTACATTGCCTTGAAGCTC